TATAATGTTACCTAATAGTATTATGAATGACAGTTATGCATAACGTCATTTTATAACTTATATTGCATGACAGTTAGTTAGATCACTAAATTATATAATACTTTTATTAATAATTTATATCGTCACGCATACTACAATAAAATCAACATATATGTTACGAAAGAGATATTTTCAAATTTTTAGTGACATAATATAATGTTATGTAATAGTATTTTGAATGATGATTATGCATACGTCACCTTATACAATTTTCTCCAATATAGTGACAAAATAAAGATTTTCACCATAATATGACAATATATATTAAAATGAAAATACTTGTCTTAATCTGAAGAAAAATAACATAGTTTACTTATTGTAAAATAATAAAATTTATACGAATATTTCACTAGAAAACATAATAATGTCATTTTTATAAATATAAAAACACTTAAATGTTCAAAGAAAATAAAAATAATATGACCATATTATGAATTGTGGAATAACGTTTTGCGAGAATCTCAATCCAAATCTTGTGTCGACTGCGAGTCTGTTGATGATGAGTTTATGGTATCATTTGAAGCTACAAAAATAATTAGCACATTAATTGTCATAGTTAAAATTATATAATTATTTTATTTATTTAAAATATTGTTTACCTGAAAATTGAAGTGAGGGAACAAGAATCCCGACAGCTAACAAAGCAAATCTCATAATCTCCATTTGAGTTTGACGAAACCATCTCAACTATATAAAATATTCAATTATGTAAAAAATGCAACTACTTTGGGTAAGAACAAAAAGACCCTAAAACTAAAACCATAGCAAATATAACTATGTAAAAATGTAAAGTAAGATTAAAATAAAAATGACGAAACCATCTAAGCTATACCAAAAAAATTAATTATATTTAAGAGTAAAATAAAATATTAAAAAAATATACCAATTACCTGGATATTGAAATTGATGAACCGCTTCAAGTACTATAATCTGGTGCAAAATAAAAAAATTCTGTAAAATAATATAACTCTTAAAACAAGATTATTTCAAAAGTAAAATACATAGAAGAATATTTCTATTTCACTTTCTTGATAATCTTTTTAACCCTAAATCAAATCTTTTATAAAATATTCAATTATATTTATCAGTAAAATAAAAATAAATTAAAAAACTTAATTACATGAATATTGAAATTGGCAAACCGCTTCCACTATAATCTAGAGCAAAACAAAAAAATTAATTGAAAAATAATAGAATTCTAAAATAAGAACACTCAAAAGTAAAATAAAGAGAAGAATATTTTTATTTCACTTACTTGATAATCTTATTAACCTTAAATCAAATAGAATATGCAGATTACTTTTGTAGATGCTCGATTTGTTCGGGGTCTACATCGGGATAGACCTATTTACAAGGCAATATTATATTCAGGCCAAATCGGTCGGAGCAGACACGAAGCAATGGCAGGCCTAAAGGAGAACCCAACCCGTGCATAATCAAAACAAGCCCAGCAAGCCCGAACCAAAGCCTGGAAAACAAAAACGGTTATGAGGTAATTTCAACCATCTAAAAGAGAGGTAACAGTTTGTAGATAGTGGGAGAAACAATTTGTAGGGTTTTTTTATTCTGTTTCAAGATTGGAGAGAAAAATGGTAGAGGCCATTTTCTTTGGGGGAGGAAGGCCATTTTTCTTGTATGGAAGAGTATTTTTCATCAAGTAAAAAATGAGAGAAACAAATTGTAAAAGGGGTTTCGTTGTAACCAAATGGGGGGCTTCCTTTTCGAAAGAGGATGGATGTAATCTTATTCTTTGAATAGCAAAAAACAGAAAATTTCAGGGCAGTTTTTTATTAGCAACACAAGGTTTTGTTTTTGATCAATACAAAGCAAAAGACGAAAAACATTAGATAGAGCAGTCCACAACCAAAAATGCAAGTGATAATCATTTAAAGATATTTTATATGTTAACCTTGCATGGTTCGGGTACCTGACGAATTATACCAATTGTTATAAGGCCCTTTTTGTACTCCATAGTTTCTCCTGTATTTTCTTGCATTTCACCTGTAACCGGAAAGTTTGTGTGTTTAATTGGCCTTCCATCATTTCGTTAATCTTTGAGAGTGAGTTCTTTACCATAAATATTTTTCTTTGGTAATTAAGTTTTTTAAGTTGTATCATATGTGCAATTCAGTGCTAGTGTTTCAGCACAATAATTCAGTGCTAGTTTAGTTCTCAACTTCTAGGCCTTTTCATGTTTGCAAAACAACATATGCATTCCATTTAACACTTGGTCATCTGTATTTTAAAGATGAGACGAATGACTGTTTACCATTGGTTTGCCTATAATTTAAGGAACTGAAGAACGGTGACTACCATGGTGGAAGAACTAGGGTTAGATCTGTATATTTAAGTCTTTTTGAGTAATACAGTCAGTTAATCAGAACTGTAAACTAGGATATCTGCTCTCATTTTATAAAGAAAATGATTCAGGTATCTAGGCACAGCTGCAGCAGAACCTAATGCATGTAGCTAAAATCGCAGATGCACAGGCACAGGGATCAACATCTTCCGAGGTTGACCCGGAGATTTCTTCGGTTTAATATCTTTCGATTAAGCAACATGCATTTCATTTATTTGAACTCATTTGTGAAACATTGACGATGCCTATGCAATCCACAACGCAGCAAGAGGAACATGTGCAGTCCTCACAAGCTGTAATAGATAAGCAGCATCCAGATTTCTTAGCTTCAAAAGTGCTTTTCCATGTGAACGATCAGCAGCAGCAGCAGTAATCAGAGCAATCAATATATCTCCAACAGCAGCAACTGAACCAGCCACAAGTGGGGTGAAGATCTGCTGCCGCTGGTGGCACTTATCATGGGGTTCAAGCTGGGATAGGTAACAATGTCATGAAATTCGAGGAAACGAACAAGATAGCTCGGAAGATGGAGCGGGTGAAGGCTTTAGAAACTTTGCCTATGGGCAACGCTAGGTAGAGTGAAAGCATGACCAACACCGATACCACGGTGTTCATATTGTGTATAGCTCTTCGGGTAGTTCTCTGCCTCTAGTTATCTGTTTTATTTTGCTGATTTTCATTTTGGTACCATGAAAAATGTGGAGATAACGGTAGGTGCATACATGTGGAGGGCTAACTTGGTTCATTTGTCATCTCTTTGGTTTAGTTGTTTTTCACCTGAAATCTCACGGTAATATATTTTCTATTAGTGATTCAAATCACGGTAATATATTTCCATAAATAGGTAGTAAGAATAGGGTTTTGCGTGTAAAAGTTGTAACAAATCTTGTACTCTGTTAACATAGTGAATTTTCTTCTCCGCCGCTAGTGGTTTTTCTCTTTCGGGTTTTTCAGGTGAATCTTGATATTTTTATTGTTTCGGTCGTATTTGTTTGCCGTTAATCGTTTCAATATTGTAACAACATCACTTTGTATGTTGATTGTATTTGTTTTTGGTGAAAAAAGTAAGTCCAGATAGGAGTGAGAAATAATTTTAAGGGTGTTCCATTGTAGCAATAAGCTGAGTAGCTAAAAGACATAGTTGTATGCTCCGTTCATTTTCTAAGTTAAAAAAAAAGTCTTAGCTTCACAAAAATCATTCAAATTATGACATGGCAAGTTACAGGATGCTTTATTGTAATTGTGGAGTAAACAAGCCATGTGACAAAATAAAACCCTTTTATTATGTTCATGAATTTAGTTAATCCTGTACAAATTTAGAAATGGTTGTTTCATATCATATAATCGAGATTTCGTCGACATGCTGGATTGAAGCCATTGGGATTGTTCAAGAATAATCTCTCTAACTGGGGTCGTGTGGGTATTGGTCACTGAGAGACATCATTTGAAATGAAAATCGCTTCTTTTACCCTCTACAGTTCTGCACGCGCCTCCACGCACCACCCCTGAGAGTGGGGAAAGTCTACCGTCTGGTGGACCGCTTGGAAATGGGCCGATCCTAGAAATTTTGTACAAATTTCTACTCGTGTTTTAAGGGGTTTTGAAACACTTACCAAGCTCGGTTCACAACGGAGAGCTCGATTTCGAAATGTCTGAAACTTGATATTCCTCACCCCTTTACACGCAAGCGACAACGAAGATAATAAGGACACCGGTGAACTCAGAACGACACAAAGAACATGATGATGCGGTAAGTGTCGAAAACGGAACAACGGTCGATGATGAACCAGCTATCAAATATTCCAATCTCTAAAGGAAATGTTAGGGGGAGAGAAAAATAAATTAACATTTTCCCATATTTGGGGTTATATAAACCATTAAAAAGGAAAATGGAAAAATCATGTCATAGATCCATCTTTAGTTGCTTTTTGAATTTGGATATAAATTTAATCAAAATTTCACTTCAATCCCCGAATTCAATTAAAATTCAATTTAATCCTCAAAAAAATTTTAAGAGAATTTTTAGGCCCTATTTTGGAGTATGACACTCATCATTTGATTAATTGTGATTTCTTACTAATGTAATACATAATTATATTTTATATGCACACATATCTAATCAATACTATCCCACAATATCTATCTAATCAAGAAAAATTCATTTAATCAATTAACAAATTCCATCCAAAGATGAGCAACATATTGAGAGTTAAAACGTTAAGAAAATGGCAAATTACAGGTATTGTTGAACAGTATATCAATAAAAAAACCTTGATCAAATGAAATAAACGTATCCACGCTCAGTTTTCTTCAAGCTTAAACCCATGTATTGATTTTAATAATGTGTTCCTTTTTATTACAAATAACTCAGCTTAGGGCAATCTTCAAATCTAATCTAACATCTTTCATTTCTGGCTCCAGAAAATGATATAATAATAATCACAGGCAAAAGCATTGAAACATAAGAAGAAGAAAAAAGGCACCATCTTATTAAATATGAACAACTATTGTCTAGGTCAAACAGAAACAAAAACACCACTCGAGTTTCAAGCTGCTTGCAAAGCTAACTTTAAGATGGTCAAGATCTGTCTTTAGAACCATACCGTCCTAAGAAAACATCCAGAAATCTAATAATAGTAGAATCAGAATTTCCTGCCTCTCGAAAACATCTACTTGATCTTCTTCTCTGGCCTCAACTGTCATTTACCAAGCAATAGAAAATGTCAATCAGTTACATGGCAAGAGCACAAACTCGAATGCGGTTTACAAAAATGTCCTTTAGATTAGCTGCTCGTGCTAATGGAATGATGGGATGGGCGTAGATGGTTTACCTGGTTGCGGTGACCACACTTCTTTTTCATGCAGTTCACAGCACGGGGGTGCAGACGAGCATAACACCTACAGCAAAGATATCCCCATTAATTGGTAAAGTTACTAAGCTTTTCATTTTCTACTAACATTTTCTCAACTTTTACTGGAATATATATATAAGCTTTTCAATTCTATGTTCTATTGTATATGGTATTAAATGAAGAATCTCTCTGATTTAAATGGCTTAAACATATGTACCAGTTTAAAATATGTAATTCTACCCCCAAGAAAGGAAACTCAAAAGAAATTAATGAAGTTATAAAAGGATATTAAGGTAGCAAAAATGCAGGCATGGAAGTAATAACAAATCAGATCAGTTTGCAAGAAATTTTAATAAAAAGAGCATTTCCTAAAAAATGGATCTTGTTATTATCCCTAAAACTAAACATCAAAATGCACCTCTGGTAGGCAGGATGCAGGGCAAACGTCTAACTAGATTCATAGAAGATATATGATAGTAAACGAACAATTCATTTCTAATGAATTGGGTATACTAAGATTATTTAAACAATTAAAATTATGGGCAAGAAGATAGAGTGGACATACTTGTGGCAGATCATCTTGTCCTGATTGTATTTCCTAGCCAATGCCATCAAAGAAGGCTCGATAATGCCACCACGAAGCCTCAGAACCAGATGCAAGGTTGACTCTACACAATTTCACTAAAACATTAACATTTAAATATCGCTTAGAGAGAAAAACTTGGTGTGTGTTTGTGGTGTTTGGGGGGGGGGGGGGAGCACAGTTCAAGCTTTCAAGTCAACATCCCAATTTCCATCGTAATTTAAGTACTCTAAACAACAAAATTGGAGATAACATGAGAGCATTTTCTTCTCATCACAGAGATCCTACAAAATTATCTAAATATTGTTAAAAAAATTGAAGCTATAGAAAAGCTAGCATATTTAGTTCTAATGACTGCTACAAATTCCTATTTGGATACTTCTCACTTTCCCAACAGGTAAAAATTACCTAAACATATCCACGCTTTCAATTCACAGTTCAATACGGATCATGATAAATCAAAATACTTTAAACATCTTTTGCCTGTGTCAATTTTTTTCGAGAATCATATTAGGGCCCATAACGACCAACATTTACATTTCTAAATATTGTAGTCAGCAAGAGTACGGCCATTCTCGAGCTGCTTTCCGGCGAAGATCAACCTCTGCTGGTCCGGAGGGATACCAGATAAAATTTAACAGGAAAATATAAGCCGTCAAAACCACAAACAAATTGCACTCCAAAAGCGGGTAGGGAGAAAAACTTAGAAGGAAAAGAGATGAGTAATACCTTTTCTATCCTGAATCTTAGCCTTCACATCGTCGATGGTGTCACTGGATTCAACCTCTAGGATTATGGTCTTCCCAGTTAGGGTTTTCACGAAGATCTGCATTTTCACAACTCCGCGTCTCTCTTTGTTTCAGCCAAGCCTTCCCGTTAGTTTACTAGATATTTACGTAGTATTAGTGCAGATTAGGGTTTTCGGGTGTATGTTCGGTTATGGGGTTATTTTCCTTCACCGTGTTAGTAAATAATCTCAAAACCAAACAAACCATAACACAATTGGCCACGTTTGTGCTACATTGTAATGTGTTTGTCTGCAGTTGAAGTGTTCTTTGAATTGTTTTTCTTCTCAAGTTTGCACCCAATATGATGTCATTTGTAATGTAGAATTCAGCATTTCATACTCGGTGCTACACAACATAGAAAGATTTGTAATGTTTCTTTTTCATGATTACATGTATTACAAAGAAAACCGAAGAGTAAATAGATTGGAAATAAATCACAAAAAGAAGACTATATAGAGAAAACAATGACAGACAAAATACATGATAAAAAAAAAGTGCTTGTTGACAAGGAAAATAATTATTTTAGATTAACTACAGGACTTAACGGATATTAAGATTAATTTTAAAATATTAACAGATATTTTCATATAAAGATTAATTTGATATTTTTTTAACATAACATTATAAACATAGTGAACAAAAATTAGATTTAATTAGATACATTTCTATTTGAACTTATTTGTTCAAAAAACTACATAAATGTAACTTTGGGGTACCAAATATGTGTAACGCCCCAAAACTTTCATTGAGGATTAAATTGTTAAATAAAATTATTTCGAGGAATAGTTAGATAGTTTCTATGTTTTGTGGGATTAAATTTGGATTATGTGATAAAGAATTAATTCTTAGAATTTAGTTTGTGGAAGATTGGTGACTAAATTGAAATAAATGAATTACTAATCTCAAAAGTGAAAAAAAGAAAAGAGTTGGACTCTTTAATGAATGAATTATCCTCAAAAGTTATAAGATATTTTTACTTGGGTGAATATGAACCATTAGATTGGATGAAAGTTTTCATCTTTAGTTGGAACCATTGGATCAAAGAAATGATAAAATGAGTTTATATATTCTCGGGTTAAAGAAAGAAAAGATGAAAAGAATCATTCACCTTATTCTTCTTTAAGTCAATGTGAGATGGAAAGAGACATGGCAAAGTCTCCATCTTTTCTTCATTTCCTCCATTTTAGTTAGATTTAAGGTTAGCTTAAGAGACAAAAATGTTAATCTTTTCATTTCCTTCAAAATGAGTATAATAATGAAGGTTTGAATGGGTTCGGGTGAAACCCTTAGTTTCATCATGAAAGTTCCAGTGAGAGTTTAGGAGTTGAGAGATTTTGATAGAATGAAGAGTGACGAGTGATTTTCTTCCACCTTAAAGGTTATATTCTCTTAGGACAAGTGAAAAAAAATCAAGTTTTGGGAGAAGTTATTATTAGAGATTAGAGACCAAGGGTAAGAGTCTCCATACTTTTTATTTATTCATATTATATCTTTGAGTTTTAATTATGATAGAATATATTTAGTAATATCTTTAATAAAGGTATTGGATGCTTGCTTGAGGTGAATACACTAAACTTATTTACTTTATGGAGGTTGAATTAAATAATTAAGTGGTCAAATAAGCAAATGTGAAGTTACATTTTGTTCATTGTTGTTAGAGATTTTATATGAGTTAATGATGGTTAAATGATGATTGAAAAGTGTAATGAAAGTCATAAAATGTGTGGAAAGTGTACTAAATATGATTGATAATATTGATATCAATTAGAAGGTGTTTAGAGGTGATTGCAATGCACTAGAAAAAAAAGGCAATTTATAGTAGAGGTTTCGAAACTCCTATAATTGGTTTTTAAACCCTTCGTCCAGAATGTAAAATTTACGAATTTTACTGATTGATTTCGAAACCTCCTAAGGTGGTTTTGAAACACATGCCTAAAATGGTCAATTAGGCCTAAAATATTACCTGAAATGTCGTTGATTTATAATATGATTGTAAATAAGTTCGAATATATATAAAACACTATAATAAGTGTTAAGTAAGGCCTAAGAGTGTACAAAAACGGTGTGAAGCCATTAATAAATGATAAAGTATTCTTCCATAAGCTTTAGTAACCTTAATTGGCTTGTGAGTGTAATAAATTATCAAAATACCCTTAGAGGGTCAAAATTACCAAATTAACCTTATGAGATTAAGTAAATGGAATAAATTGTACAAAGGAAAAAATATTAAATTCTATTAATTGTGAAAAGACATAAATATTCATGTGTGTAAGAAAATGACTAAAATTCCCTTTAGGGCCAAATAATCAAACTACCTATAAGTGGTAAGCTGGTTAATTGTGTGAGATTCTAAAATGCATTAGAGAGCGAAAGATTAAGTAATAATATTGTTATAAGAAGAATAAATTTTGTGATCATAAGAATGTATAAATTACCATTTTAACAAAAAAATGGTTAAGAGAACCGTTAGAGGTGAAAAAAATAAAATGTCCTGACTACAACAAATTTATCAATTTATGACAAAATTTTTATATGATGTTACATATATCGTCACAAAACATACTATAATGTGACGTTTTTTTATTTTCGTCATATTTATTGATTAATGATATATCTTTTATGACAATTTTAAAAAAGGTCATTGATTTTTGTCACTATATGTTTGGCGCCAAAATCTTCCCACCAAATTTTTTGGTGGGAAACCTTTTAATGACATTTAGATAAAATAATGACGTTGTAAAATCGTCTCCAATAAAAAACAGGTATTAGTGACGATTTATTATAATGCCGATTCAATTTGAATTAGTGGCGTTGCACATTTGTCATTAATAAGTTTTATTTGTGACAATTTAATTTGTCATGTTTTATAAGACACTAAAAGTGACATTTTATTATTGTCACAAAAAATTGTTTTAGCACGACGAAATCAATTATTTGTCACTTGTTTTTATCTCTTATTTTTATATGACGATTTTAAAAGATGTCATGAAAATATGCCACTTAATGTTAAAAAATAAGATAATCTAACAACCTTATTAAATAATACAATGTATAGAGTTTTTTTGTGTTTTTATTTTATTTACATTATTCTATATTAGATTATCTCACATTCAAAGATTTTTAGAGTAAAACATAAAATAATAAATCGTAAAAAAGAAATGACCATAATATTTTTATATATTATTATACTTCTATGTTTTCCATGATGTTACATCAAAGTGTTTAGAAAAAATAGATATTTATATTTGATCATAGAAATACCCATAAAATTTTAGTATATTTAGATAGATATACATCAATAAATTTAAAATATAAAATATTACTCTTTTATATATAAAAAAGCTAATATTATAAAACATGTATGTGTTTTGAATTTTTTAAGATTATTATTGTTCCTCCAAACACATTTTTAATTGAATCAAACTTTGCATTGGAGTAATTATTTTATAATTTTAAAATTTCTAAAGAGAAATCTTTTTACTATTTTAAATTATTACTATTTTAATAAGTAATCTTTAAATAATATCAAAACCATAAATAAAAAATATATTTTAATAATAAAAGATTTTAAATGTAAAAGAAAGGAAAACATAATAAAAAGGCATTAATGACTAAAATAAAATTCCACGAAAACTAAGGGGCTAGATTCACAAATTTAAAAAAGAAAAAGCCTTGAAATGAGGACCAAAATGTGTTACTTTAAACATGGACATGACCCTTACAATGATTAACCCAAATAAAGAAAAATGGGCTGATTCTATCCCTAAACGGCAACATGTGAAGTATTTTAATAAAATTTAATTAGGTTTAATATAACCTACACTTCATTTTTAATAACCCTCTGCCGCCGTTCACTCACTACACAACCCACTTCCCCATTTTCTTTCTTTTAAGTCTTCCTTCTTGGAGCTGCTTTTCACTAGCAAGTGCTTGCAGTTCTGTGGTCCTCAAGCTTGACAGTACGGTTGGGTTTTAACTCAAATGAAACTAGTAATTTCCCTGGAGCTTTTGTTTTTTCTCCTAAAAGAATGAGAATTAAGAAGTTCTCAGTAGCTTGCTCTTCTTATACTACTGATCCATTGTTGGTTAAAGCTGCAAGAGGAGATCCTGTAAGTCGGCCTCTTGTATGGATGATGCGCCAGGCAGGAAGATATATGACTGTTTACAGAAAGCTTGTAGAGAAACATCCGTCCTTTAGAGAGGTATGAGACAACTGATCTCATTGTGGAAATTTCGTTGCAGCCTTGGGAAGCTTTCCGTCCTGATTGAGTTATAATTTTCTCTGATATTCTTACTCCACTGTCTGCATTCAGTGTCCC